TTGATGCGTTGAGAGTAGATTTACCCCAAAACGAACGATCGATTCTCGAATACCGCGAGCATTCCAAAGATATTCAAGTCACGACTCGAAGACCATAGAGAAGACAGCGTAAAGCTTTAGGAAGATTAGGGCAGTTTCAGTGAATTGGACAGCAATTAAACGAATCCACCGGGTATTGTCTTCATGGGCGAATTACACCCGATCGTCAGCTTCCAGTTCTTCCGATGGATGATCAAACCGGATCGAAATTTCTATCTCGCGAATACGAATGACGGATAGCGGTATTTCCTTATCCTGTCAAGGCGGCGGGAGTATCCTCTGCCTTATCGTTTTGCCGTCCTTCCTCGGATTTCGGCTGTCCTCGGAAAACGGAAGTGCCCTCGGGAGTTCGTTTTTGCGACGCTCCATTTCGAGAATTACGTACTCCAAGCGAATCGATGCTTATATCTACTCCCTTCCGTCTTTGCATTTGCAAATTGTCCTCGGATATATGGAGGCTGCAGGCTTCTACTGGCTCGGGACGTTTCTGATAGATTCTTTCCATTTGAAAAATGGCGGGAAAAGTTCGCCGTTTTAAGTGAGAATAACGTTTATTTTAGTGGTATGTGTTTTTCGGGTTACTTTAGTGTTGCAGTTTAAGTCTGGAATACCTTAACCTCGAAAATTACGAATATCTTCATTTAGAAGATTATGAATATTCTAACCTCGAAAATAAGAACGTTTTAATCTTGGAAGTTACATCTATCCTAACCTCGAATAACACGAACATTTTAATCTTCGAAAGTCTTCAATATTCTAACTTTGTAAAGTCTCGAATATTTTCACCTTGACAATCACGAAAGTCCTAACTCATACAATCTAGAATATTCTAACCTCACTATATTTAAACATCACGAATATCTTACATAACCTCGAATATCACGAACATTTTAACTTTGAAAATCTCCATTCCCTAAACTCGTAAAATCTCGAATATTTTAACCTTCGAAGTTACGAATATCCTAACCTCATATATAACGAATATTTTAATCTTCGAAAGTCTTCAATATTCTAACTTTGTAAAGTCTCGAATATTTTCACCTTGACAATCACGAAAGTCCTAACTCATACAATCTAGAATATTCTAACCTCACTATATTTAAACATCACGAATATCTTACATAACCTCGAATATCACGAACATTTTAACTTTGAAAATCTCCATTACCTAAACTCGTAAAATCTCGAATATTTTAACCTTCGAAGTTACGAATATCCTAACCTCGAATATAACGAATATTTTAATCTTCGAAAGTCTTCAATATTCTAACTTTGTAAAGTCTCGAATATTTTCACCTTGACAATCACGAAAGTCCTAACTCATACAATCTAGAATATTCTAACCTCACTATATTTAAACATCACGAATATCTTACATAACCTCGAATATCACGAACATTTTAACTTTGAAAATCTCCATTACCTAAACTCGTAAAATCTCGAATATTTTAACCTTCGAAGTTACGAATATCCTAACCTCGAATATAACGAATATTTTAATCTTCGAAAGTCTTCAATATTCTAACTTTGTAAAGTCTCGAATATTTTCACCTTGACAATCACGAAAGTCCTAACTCATACAATCTAGAATATTCTAACCTCACTATATTTAAACATCACGAATATCTTACATAACCTCGAATATCACGAACATTTTAACTTTGAAAATCTCCATTACCTAAACTCGTAAAATCTCGAATATTTTAACCTTCGAAGTTACGAATATCCTAACCTCGAATATAACGAATATTTTAATCTTCGAAAGTCTTCAATATTCTAACCTCGTAAAACCTCAAATATTCTAACCTCGAAAGTCTCGAATATTTACCCTTGAAGATCACAAATATCCTACCCTTGAAACTTTTGAATCTTAAATTAAATGTTACTTTATTTGTCGACGTGATATGTTACTTTTGGGCGACAAACTACTTTCCAGTGTGCTCTTAATACATTCCGATCGGTGTCTGTCGCCTAAAAGCTTGCTCGATTCACCTTCTTTTCTATACAACAAGCGCGTCCACGGAGAACCGTTGGAATTCCACAGCCGCGGGGACGATTTCACGTTCGTTTCCGCGGGAACGTGAAACGAGAACGACGCCCGTGAACTTCTGCGTAACACGAGGGGGCGTCTCGATATATATGCCCTCCGATCGGTTTCTTCGGTGCGTCGACCGCATCGCAACTATAGACGCGACGGTGCTCAGACTCGTCGAGGATGCAAATTGTGCGCTTAATAGGCTCACGTTTTTACCCAGTCGACTCAGCTTGCATGTCAGGCAGCCCGAACCGTTGCCCGTGGAATTCCGTTCGTTCGACGGCGTAGCTTTTTCTTTCTCGTATTGTCCGAGAAACTTTCTTTCCGAGATTTCCGAGCCGCGAATATCGATCACGGGGGATATAGGCAGAGTAGGTTGCTTTCGTGCGGAAAAAAAAAAACAATCTAATGATAGGGATCGATGTATACAGGGTGACACTAAACAGAAATTTAACACTAAAATTGACAAAGTCGTAGAAATGAAGTATTTGAGATTTCATATTTTAAAATTAATAAAATTAAAAGAGTGCTTCATACCGGAATTTATGTTGTTTTCAATTAATTACACACTCTATATTTTACTGTATTATGTTGTATTATATGCTGTACGTATTAAAATATTACCAAATATTATTTGGTGTTTATAAGTACTAGTGTTAATAAAGGACGCACAAGGTTCTGTTATGCTAAAAAATTTTGTAACGGTTTTATTCCACCAATTCGTCGTCAGTATTGCTTATATGCGACATATGATATAACTGCGACAAAATGGCGTCCAAGTTCATCGAGCGCAAATCGAACGGTCCTTCAGAGGGCGCTGTCACGTGGAACAGTAACGGAAGTGTACAGATAAAAGAGGAAGTGGCGGGTCGGAAGAACGATGCCAGCGGCGATGCTTACTGGAAAATTCAGTCAGACGATCTGTCGCTATCGCGACAACTCGCGGACGGTGGAATTAAAGCAATTAGGAATTTTATCTTGGCAACGCGGGCGGGAACTTTCTTTGCGGAAGCGAAAAGCCGAGATCGAGCTTATCTGCCGCGCTCGACGGCGCAGAAACCTAGGATTCCTTTCACGCCGCCGCTATTCTTTCGCGTCTGACGCGTATACAGGGTGTTTCTGAAGTCGAGAGAACCACTTTCGATAGTTCGATTGTAGGTGAGCGTGAACACTCTCACTGACGTGTCGAGGCACAAATTCAATGAGTACAAAAGGTATTTGGAAACAAAATTAATGGCCAATTACCATGCGTATTTGTTAGTGTTATAATTAACCCCTTATGAGCTCACTAAAATTTTAAAAAACTATGTGGCAAAGTGGAACAGCTTTAATATAAACAACTTTACGTTTATAAACTCGTGTCAATAACTATTTTTCAGAATAAACTACTTTTTACTGTTTTTTTTTACGATTTTTTACTTAGTATTATTTACTATTTTTTACTATTTACCAATCATTATTTCATGATCATTATCATGTTTATAAAATCGTGTCAAAACTGTTTCAGAAAAAACTTCTGCTTTTTACTGGTTTTTTTTTACTATTTTTTAGTAAAAAAAGCATTATTTACTATTTTTTACTGTTTAGTTATCATTATTTTATTACTTAAATGTTTATAAAATCGTATCAAAAATTATTCTTGAGAAAAAATTTTCGCTTATTACTGTTTTTTTTTTTTACTATTTTTACTATCTAGTATTATCTACTATTTTTTTTACTATTTAATAATACCTAAGAAGATATTTTCCGCAGACGTAATATTACGAACGTGGACCTTAAGAGGTGAAACTGCGGATTTTATGCATTTATAGCCTGAAGTGTAATAAGAGACAAAACTTTCATTGGATGCAACGAGTTTTCAATTTTATTCTTTATCCAATAAGGAAAGAAAGACATTCCTCCTTTTGTCCTTATTTTGCTCCATAAAGGAGGAAAGAAATTCTTGTTACTGTTCTTCTCTTTATAAATTGCTTCATTAAAATATCATTTTGCATAAAAATCCATAGTTATATACGGCATCACCTCTCTTATAGCACTCTTTAGGCCTGACGACAATATTATAGGGGGCATTGGATATAATTCTGCGATCACTACTTTGATTTGCGTGGTATTAAAGCAAAGTTGTATTGACCTTGAAGAAACTCAAGGTCACCTTGGAAATGATCAATAAGAACTATTATCTAAAATAACTTGTTACCCATTGATTGTGTCACAAAACGTTTCAGTGAATTATATGGCACTTTAAAGGAGAGATCAGGTGAATACAATTTCATTTCATTATCTTATTTTTTGTTAGATATCAAAGTGACCTTAAGTTTTTTCAAGGTCAATGCATCTTTTTTTAATACCATCTTGCTATAGATCGTTGAATATGTCCTTCCATCGACAACAACGTGGTATTAAAAAAAAAGATGCACTGACCTTGATAAAACACAAGGTCACCTTGATATCTAACAAAAAAAAAGATATAATGAAATCAAACTGTATCCGTCCGACGCATCCCTTAAAATGTTACATAATTCATTAGAACGTTTTCCAATACAATCAACAGGTGACAAATTATTTTAGATACGTAGTAGTTCTTATTGACTCACCCTGTAGTTTTCGTACCGTGGCTGCAATAATTCAATCATCCATTTGTATTTTCAAATGACTGGGCATCTACTATGCTAAATAAGTCTCGGAACAGAATCGTTACCATAGTACATACTATGTAATAGTGGACACCATTAATTCTCTGTCGTGAATTAACGAAAGAAAAACCTGATAAGGAGCGCATAGCTGGAATCGTTTCGCGGCAAATATCATATACATACACCGTGCTTTTAATGAACCCGGGCGCTAGGCCCCGTGTCACGCACAACGTTCATTTGAATAAAACGGGAGGAACTGACTCGGTGGAATACCTCTTTGCTTACATTTTCAGGTGGCTTCACCTGCTGTTTAACCTGGGCGTGCAGGTGGTCGTGGGACTTCCCCTGGAAATGGTTCACGGTAGCCTCAGGATCGCGGCGGTCTACATGGCTGGTGTTCTTGCCGGTAAGTAATGAATATGCGTAGGCAAATTACGGAAAATTTTATTTACACGGATTACTCGCGATTCTACTCCACGGTTTCCGTCCGACGACAACGGATAGCTACGCGAGTTTTCACGGTGGATCGATGGGAATCAGACGTTTCTGACATTTAATACAGTGGTTCCTCGATGAATACGACACGAACCAATCAAAACAAAGTAAACAGAAACTAAGCTGAGGTTTGGTTTTGTGCAAAAAAAAAAAATTTATGAGTGGCTGAAAACCTTTCCGCCTTGCCACGAATGCTCAGAAGCTGATCCCACTTCGTCGCACTTATCGAGACATTACTGTAGCTATTATTGGGGTAAAAATGTTTGCATCGCAATAGAGAATTATATTTTCGATATAACGATAGAGGATTAGAGGAAGGATAATTTTAGGAATATAGATATCGATAGCTGTTGTCTCTTGGAATTACAAACGTGTTCGACGAATGTGACCAAAGAACGTAGCGAATAATTTCATTTGCTGTAGAAAGAGGGTAGCAAGACGGTGGAAGTATGCGTAGTAAGAGTACAACAATTTTTTGTATACATAAATAATTGAATAAATAAATCTTTTATAATTCCGTTATAGAGCATAAAATGTCGATAATTATTCATTGCATCAATTTTCTCATAGCTACCGTAGTTTTCAAGATACAGTAAATTTTCGATTAGTACGCGAAACGATCTATGGCATAAGCACCCGGTTTTCATCCCCACCACTAAGAGGGTCCCTCCTGGAACCAGTCAAGCATACAATGTAACACGCCGACAGCTTCCCAAACGAAAGCCCAAAAAAATTAATTAAGAGACAATACTAATACAACGATGCAAATTTTGTGTTTTTATTATTTTTCATTAAGACTTTTACTAACGTATTTGCGAGATTTTTCTGATTAAAACGAGACCAAACACGATATGATTTAAATTGTATTTATTTATTGATATTGATTATGTTTCGTAAATAATTAATAAGTAAATATGATCCAAATTATATCGTGTTTGGTATCATTTTACTCAGAAAAATCTCACAAATACGTTAGTCAAAGTTTTATTCAAATAAAACCAAAGATAAAAAATTTTCATTATTGCATTAGTGTTGTAAACTTTGTCAACGTCTCGACCCACAGTCCCTCTATTCTTTTTTACTCGCTGTTCTTTTCTACGTTCGGCATCGATTCTATATTTAGAATCTCTTCCTCTACTTAGTAACCGGGCTCTAGTCCCCATTTTCGAGTGCTAATCCAGATTTTACTATCCCTATGATCGAAAATATAAAAAGAGCTACCCAAGCATTGGATATCACCGAACCAATACGCCTGGCCGGATACAGTAATATCTCGATAAGCGCGACATACCCGTGTCCGCTTCGGAGCATTCATGGCAAGGTGGAAAATTTTGATTATCAGATCCACATAAATGTGTTTTTTTTACCCGAATCGGAGCCTCTGCTAAGCTTCTGTTTACTCTTGTTTGATTGCCTCCAGAGGGGGGGTTCCCTTCAGTGGTGGGAATAACGTCGTTGCTCGTGTCGCGTTCATCGAGGGATCAGTGTAACACCATAAAAAACTGTCAGAAATGCCATATCCATTATACACGAAATGGAATTCAGCGTGTGGCGAGATCAGCCGAGTGCATTTAACGCGTCCAAACGTTTTCACTGGAACGGGGGAGGGATTGGCTCGTCGATATCTCTGACGGGTGATTATGCGCCGGCATGTGTGTAATATAGTAATGCACGGGCGCATGGAACGATATTTGTGAATTTAAATTTACTCGACGATTCTCACCCGCATAAATGCCTTGGCTAGGCGCAGCTGCAGCGAACCTAGACCGCGGACTCTATTTCTTCTCTGTAACACAATTTGCCCTCTATTTACATTTACGGTGTTTCGAGGGATTTTCCAGCGTGTTGGAACGGTGTTTTTGCCCCGTGCGCCTTCTACCCCATATTCTCTGACTCTTTCGTTACCCCTCCCCCCGCCATTTTGTCGTTACTGCTCTCTGTTCGTCCTTGACTGCTCCGTCTACAATTATTTTTATCCATCCATCAAGTATGAATCCAAATAAATTTGTTTCTAAAATTATGGACCGACTACGATATGCGCTATAAAATAGAAAACAATTTCTAAAAAAAATTTTAAAATTACTCTAGAAATTAAAAAAGATTTTCTAATTATTTATTAAATAAAAACTTAGAAAGGTGTATATCCTGAATGTTAATAATAATTATAAACTTTCTTTTGACTGGTAAACCGTCCAAGGTTACAACGGACCGGAACGAAAACGGTTGCGCACGCGCGCGCACAGTTGTGTAAACCTAATTGCCATTTGCATAAATTCGATTATACGCTGATCCTGGGGTTATTAGCAGTCATGAAAGTAAAACGTTGCAAAATAGGGCGCATGAATAATAAACTCGCCAGAACGGTGAGGGAAGATTTCGGGATATATCGGATGTCGTAAACGCGCGGGGGTGGTGGGGTGGGGGGTTGGAACGGAATGCGGGCGGAGAAAACGGGGCCCGAAAGAACCAGACTACACGGGGGAAAATTCCAAGGTGAGTAATGCTGATCTTGCATACGTGCAATAATACTGATTGGTGGACCGTGAACGTTTATGCAAATATGGATCTTCGTGGGCTAATTTATAAAAATTGAAGTCGGACCGGGATTTTCTTCGGTTCACTTCGAGCTAGAGTGATAGAAAAACGTGACAGAAAAAATTTATTATTATAATTTTAAAATAATTTTTTACTTATTATACAGGGTGACCCACCTAACGTGAGCACATTAAATATCTTGTTCCTGTGTATGTGTGTGTGTGTGTGTGTGTGTGGAGTGGATTATTTCCGAATCCTTTTAAGGTTACGAATAGTTAAAATGAGTATTTTCGAAAATATTACAAATTTACACAGAATTTTATTAGGGAATATTGAGGGGAATTTATTAGGGAAATTTAGTACTTACTGTATTGCCCTTATAATCATAGTTATTGAATACCCGAACGAGAGTAGTTCTCTATATGCACGTCGAAATTATAGAGAGGGAAGAAGAAGAGGAAGATTATAATTTCACAATTTTTCTGCAATATTTCAAGTAAATCAGTTCACTATATATTCGGTTCAAAATTGTTAAAAAATAGTCAACTCCAAAGCAATTATTTCTACCATCGTTTAATGAAATAGTTCATTTTGAATATAGTGAATTTAGGCGGGAAATTTAAATCGATTATTTTTTACGGTGATGTATAAAATTACATATTTCCCTTGAAATCATTTATGTATTAGTAAAAATACAGAACTTATCTATTGGTTTAACCCTCAAAGTACGGACGTTTTATGTTCGTAGATACAGTGTTGTTTGGGTCCGTTTGAAATCCCATGCTTCCTTCTATTTAAAAATACTTTCGAACGCGGTCATTAAAAAAACACCTGTTTTTTTTTTATATGAACAACTCTCAGCTTAAATTATATTTACAAATCAATGAGTTAAATACGGCATTTAAACACTTCGGTCCAAATGGATCCGGGAACCGTACTCCAAGGGTTAATACTTTCTTCACAAAAAATTCCCAAAAATTCCTTCAATTTTACCTGTTTGCACCAGGCTCCCTTCTTAAGTCATCGAAGTCTGGGGGGGGGGGCGACCCAGCCTAGGGATATTGATTGAGTCTCGCCGTGAGAGTAGAGAACGTCTTTTCCCTCTTCTTTTCGAACTTTTTTTCCTGCATGCTTGCTCCGTCTTTTGTTGGGCGAGACCCCCACCCCACACCCCCGTTCCACGAGAACGCGAGCTGGCGACAGCTTGTCTGAGGCCATCCCGACAGGATTACTTCGTATGCATCGCGGTCGCGACGATGTAATGCGATTGTAACTACGCAAGTGCAACTGCACCTATCTCCTGACACCTTTTTCCCTTCCGACCCATGTCCCCCTATTCCTTTTTTAATCGTTTTTCGCGTCTCCTCGCTGTCTCATCGCGTCGTGGTGTCTCGTCCGCCACTCCCCCCTTCGCCACGCGTCTGGTCTCATCTTTCACTCCTCCCTTGTGTCAGTCGCTTGAATAATATCGTATACACGGGCTGGAATTCACGTTTCACATCTGTCGGTTAGTTTCTGAATCCTTTGGTGTGAAGTGCTGGCGAACGTGGATATATACCTTCGCGTGGTGTCTCTTTGACGGTCAGTTTTGTCAGGTTGGTAGAACCGTTGGCGATAAACCGCGGCGGCCATCTTTGTTCCCGTTACAGGAACTGCGAAAAGCAGCGGCAATGGACCGAGCAGTTAACGAGGGAAGTTCGGTACATGGAAAATTCCGACTTTTTTTACATTCTGTAAGTTTGTGGGGGACCTCAGTAGAAGCATCAGGCAAATTTTCGCTGATATTCGATTCTTCGCGGCGAAACCACCCCTTAAAGGATGATGTGTCTTTTCCTATTTTCCTGTATATCTTGAAAACTGTAGTAGATATCAAAAAACTGTTAAAATGTAAATTTTATAGTATGTTATGCCTTATATTACTGTGTAATAAAATTGTTAAAAATTGGTTTTTTAAATAAAAAATTAAATAAACAAACAAATTTGCAACAATTGAATTACATACTTTTATAGATTGTAAGAAGCCATTAAATCTTCGTTCCAACAGTTTTTTCGTATCTACTATACTTTTCAGGATACACAAGAAAATAGGAAAGCACTTTAAGGGGTGGGTTTCACCCCGAAGAACCGAATAACAGCAGAAACGAGACGGAAACGACAAAAGAACAGCCGCGATAACGCAGGGACCACGAGCAATCGACAGTTCTCGGTTAAGGGGATAAAAAAAGTACAATAGAAATTCTCCGAGAATGAGAGAGAGTCACGGCACGATTCAACAACGAGATTCCCAGATAGGCGGGCTTAATTTCCGCGTAATTTCATTCATTCCGTCAACGGACTATCGCGCGCGCGGTCTCCGTGTCGCGGGAATCACCCCCA